GCATCGGTTTGGACAATAAACTCTTTAGTGAAGTCCGGGGTTACCAGAACCGGTTGGGTGCACAAAGCCTCTTTCAAATTTACAAACGATGTTTCTGCCTCTAATGACCACTTAACCACTAGTGGGGCTTTTCCTTTTGTGAGATCCGTTAAAGGAGCTGCTAATGTAGCAAAATCAGGAATAAATCGCCTGTAATACCCAATAAGTCCTAAGAAAGTCCTGACTTGCTTTTAAGTGAAGGGGCGTGGCCAACTTTGTATGGCCTCCACTTTTGCTGTTTGGGGCTTAACTAGTCCTCTCCCAATCGAACAACCAAGATATTTTGCCTCTTCCAAACCTATAGTACACTTAGATGGGTTAGCAGTTAAACCAGCTAGGCAGATAGAGTCCAGTACTGCCTGCACTTTGGGAAGATGTGAAGCCCAGTCGGAACTGTGAATGACTATGTCATCTAAATATGCGGCCGCATAACGGCTGTGAGGCTTCAAAATCCTATCAATCAGTCTTTGAAAAGTGGCAGGGGCCCCATGTAACCCAAATGGTAGCACCTTGTATTGGAATAATCCCACTGATGTCGAAAAATCTGTCTTTTCTTTTGCTCTGTCTGTAAGAGGTACTTGCCAATAACCCTTCGTCAGGTCTAAAGTAGTCAGGTACCGAGCCTTACCCAGTCTCTTCAGTTCATCAACCCTAGGCATTGGATAAGCATCAAACTTTGACACACTATTTAATTTACGAAAATCATTACAAAATCTTAACGAGCCATCAGGTTTTGGCACCAGTACTATAGGGCTGTCCCACTTGCTTTGTGATTCCTCAATAATATCAAGAGCTAACATTTTCTTAATTTCTGCAGCTACCGCCTCTTTCTGTGCTTCTGGGATTCTGTACGGTTTAAGACTTATCTTCACCCCGGGTTCTGTAACAATATCATGCTTGATAAAATTAGTCCTGCCCGGAACTACAGAAAATACATCCCGGTTTCTACCAATAAAGTCCCTTACTTCCTGTTTCTGGTGGGAGGACAGGGTGTCTGGTATATTTACTTCAAATTCACTAGCAGTCTTATTAGTGACAATTGAAGTAGTTAAGACCTCTCTGTCCTTCCAGGGTTTTAGTAAATTTATATGATATATTTGCTCGGGTTTCCTCCTATTGGGTTGTCTCACTTTATAATTAACTTCCCCAACCTGTTCAATAACCTCATATGGGCCATGCCAAGATGCTAGAAATGTATTTTCTACTGTAGGGACCAAAACAAGTACCCTGTCTCCTGGGTGAAAAACTCTCAGTCTGGCTTTTATAACTGTTTTTCTGGGCCTCTTGGGCTTTCTGCATATGTTCTTTAACTATTGGCATGACAGCCGCCATCCTATCTTGCATTTGAGCTATGTGCTCAATTACACTACGGTACGGATTGGACTCCTGTTCCCAGGTTTCTTTTGCTATATCTAGCAGACCTCTGGGATGATGGGCATATAGAAGCTCAAAAGGAGAGAAGCCCGTAGAAGCTTGTGGCACCTCCCTTATGGAGAACATTAGATAGTCCCAATTCTTACCATCTTTGTCAATTGCTTTCCTTAACATACTTTTTAAGGTCTTGTTAAACCGTTCTACCAGTCCGTCTGTCTGGGGATGATAAACAGAGGTCCGAAGATGTTTAATTTGAAGTAGTTTGCATAACTCCTTTGTAACTTTAGACATAAATGGTGTACTTTGATCTGTCAAAATTTCTTTTGGTATACCCACCCGGCTAAACATGAGCATGAGTTCTCTCGCTCTTGTCTTTGCAGACGTGTTACGTAGGGGTACTGCTTCCGGGTACTTGGTAGCATAATCCAGAATCACCAATATGTACTGATGCCCCCTTGCAGACTTTACCAGAGGACCTACCAAGTCCATTGCAATCCTTTCAAAAGGTATTTCTATTATAGGCAATGGTACCAGAGGACTGCGGTATGCCTTAAAAGGGGCGGTGTGTTGGCATTCAGGACAAGAAGAACAATAATTTGCAACTGAAGCAAATACCCCATGCCAATAAAACCTCTGTAAGACTCTTTCTTTTGTCTTTTCTATGCGTAAATGTCCCCCCAGTATATGGCTGTGTGCAAGATTTAGGACTGTATTTCTGAAGGGCTTAGGAACAAGTAGTTGTTTTACAACATCCATCCCCTTTTTCTCTACTCTATATATCAAATCATTCTGTACCTCAAAGTAAGGCAAAGAAGGGGCTCTATCTAGGTGTACTGGATCATCAGTTGAAACCTGGATATTTTTACGGGCCTCTGCAAGAGTGGGGTCTTCCCATTGCGCTTTCCTGAAGTTAACAGGTCAAGACAAAGTCCAGTTTCAAAAAGGCCTCTGGCCTGTTTATTTTCTGTTGTAATTAAGTAACAGGATACAATAAACAGCAAAACTTCTTTCTCCACAAAACACCTTCTTTCTCCACAAAACACTTCCCTCCCTTCACTCTGCTTTAACTGCAGTTATATAGCTGCTTACAGCCCCTACAGGTGAGGCTAATGACCTTGTTAGGCAGTGAGCCAGAACTCTTTAGAAAACCTGGGCTGGACTCATGCACAACCACTCTGACAGTGGGTGGAGAGTCGGCCCACCCTGCTCTTCCGAATACTCCACCCCAGGGACCCAAATAACAACAGAGGAAAAAACCTACATTTAAACTTAACTTTCCCTGGGGCTGCATGTGCTTACCCACATGTCAGGGTAGTGGCTGTGCAAAAGTCTGGGTGCCAGATATACACCCCTGACCACCATCCCCAACACTCTGTTACAATATATATATATATATATATATATATATATATATATTACACAAGATCCAGCGCACTCACCTATCCACTAAACAGCAACTTCAATGTTGAAAGATTTTCTTAGTTTTTTTAAAAGTTTTTTTAAAAACACCTAATCTAGGCAAAAATAATGGGGGTTTAGTTACATGGGGTACATTGACGTTGTGGCAGGCTTATGCAATGTATGATCATATAATGTAACTAAACCCCCATTATTTTTGCCTAGATTAGGTGTTTTTAAAAAAAACTAATAAAATCTTTCAACATTGAAGTTGCTGTTTAGTGGATAGGTGAGTGCGCTGGATCTTGTGTATTATATTATTTGGCCCCTAGCAGCATCCTCATTTATGCATGTTCAGGTGAGTGCAGCCAACCCCCCCTTGTTATATATATATATATATATATATATATATATATATATATATATTAATTGGGGTAGCCCCCAAAATATTGGGACATAGAAAAAAAGAAACATTGGCGGCCTGCGGTGCATTTCTTGCAGTCCTGATGCATGGAGAAATGCTCAACTCCTGATGCATGGAGAAAAGGCCTTCACAAGCCTCTGCTATTGTGTACATAGTTTATACTAAGTGATCCATAGGCTGAGGAGGTGGTGACCGTGGCGGTGTAGGTGGAAGCAGCGGTAGAGGAGGAGGAGGAGGTAGCCAACACTGTTTTTATATATATATATATATATATATATATATATATATATATATTTATTTATATTTTTTTTATTGGGGTAGCCCCCAAAATATTGGGACAAATAAAAAAAGAAACATTTGAGGCCTGCGGTGCATTTCTTGCAGTCCTGATGCATGGCGAAAAGGCCTTCACAAGCCTCTGCTATTGTGTACATAGTTTATACTAAGTGACCCATAGGTTGAGGAGGCGGTGACCGTGGCGGTGTAGGTGGAAGCAGAGGTGGAGGCAGAGGAGGTAGCCAACATGTTTATGTACAGTTGCAAGAAAAAGTATGTGAACCCTTTGGAATGATATGGATTTCTGCACAAATTGGTCATAAAATGGGATCTGATCATCACAACAATAGACAATCACAGTCCGCTTAAACTAATAACACACAAAGAATGAAATGTTGCCATGTTTTTATTGAACACACCATGTAAACATTCACAGTGCAGGTGGAAAAAGTATGTGAACCCCTAGACTAATGACATCTCCAAGAGCTAATTGGAGTGAGATGTCAGCCAACTGGAGTCCAATCAATGAAATGAGATTGGAGGTGTTGGTTAGAGCTGCCCTGCCCTATACACACACCAGTTCTGGGTTTGCTTTTCACAAGAAGCATTGCCTGATGTGAATGATGCCTCGCACAAAAGAGCTCTCAGAAGACCTACGATTAAGAATTGTTGACTTGCATAAAGATGGAAAGGGTTATAAAAGTATCTCCAAAAGCCTTGCTGTTCATCAGTCCACGGTAAGACAAATTGTCTATAAATGGAGAAAGTTCAGCACTGCTGCTACTCTCCCTAGGAGTGGCCGTCCTGTAAAGATGACTGCAAGAGCACAGCACAGACTGCTCAATAAAGTGAAGAAGAATCCTAGAGTGTCCGCTAAAGACTTACAAAAGTCACTGACAAATGCTAACATCCCTGTTATCTACAATACGTAAAACACTAAACAAGAATGGATTTCATGGGAGGATACCACAGAGGAAGCCACTGCTGTCCAAACAAAACATTGCTGCATGTTTACAAGAGCACCTGGATGTTCCACAGCAGTACTGGCAAAATATTTTGTGGACAGATGAAACCAAAGTTAAGTTGTTTGGAAGAAACACACAACACTATGTGTGGCGAAAAAAAGGCACAGCACACCAACATCAAAACCTCATCCCAACTGTTTGTATGGTGGTGGGGGCATCATGGTTTGGGGCTCCTTTGCTGCGTCAGGGCCTGGACGGATTGCTATCATCGAAGGAAAAATGAATTCCCAAGTTTATCAAGACATTTTGCAGGAGAACCTAAGGCCATCTATCTACCAGCTGAAGCTCAACAGAAGATGCATGTTGCAACAGGACAATGACCCAAAGCATAGAAGTAAATCAACAACAGAATGGCTTTGACAGAAGAAAATACGCCTTCTGAAGTGGCCCAGTCAGAGTCCTGACCTCAACCCAATTGAGATGCTGTGGCATGACCTAAAGAAAGTGATTCACACTAGACATCCCAAGAATATTGCTGAACTGAAACAGTTCTGTAAAGAGGAATGGTCAAGAATTATTCCTGACCGTTGTGCACGTCTGATCTGCAACTACAGGAAACGTTTGGTTGAAGTTATTGCTGCCAAAGGAGGTTCAACCAGTTATTAAATCCAAGGGTTCACATACTTTTTCCACCCGCACTGTGAATGTTTACATGGTGTGTTCAATAAAAACATGGCAACATATCATTCTTTGTGTGTTATTAGTTTAAGCAAACTGTGATTGTCTATTGCTGTGACTTAGATGATGATCAGATCACATTTTATGACCAATTTGTGCAGAAATCCATATCATTCCAAAGGGTTCACATACTTTTTCTTGCGACTGTATATATATATTTTTTTTAATTGGGGTAGCCCCCAAAATATTGGGACATAGAAAAAAAGAAAACTCTGTTCAGCAGAGCGACTGACCCGTGTGTGTTGCAGCTGAAACTCCACTATCGCCTGCTGCTGCTCGTACAGTCTCATGAGGCGGTGAGCGGGAAGGCCGAAGTTATGCTGCAGTGCAGACAGGTGAGCAGCAGCAGGGTGAGAACGCCAAAAGCACGCACAGACGGCCCGCACTTTCTGCAGCAGCTCTGATATATCTGGGTAGTTTTTCAGGAATTTCTGCACCACCAAATTCAGCACATGCGACAGGCAAGGGATGTGCGTCAAACTGGCTAGGCCCAGAGTTTCTACGAGATTTCCCCCATTATCGCACACCACCAGGCCGGGCTTGAGGCTCAGTGGGAACAACCACTCATCAGCCTGTTGTTCCATGCCCATCCACAGCTCCTGCGTGGTGTGGGGTTTTCCCCTCAAACATATGAGTTTGAAAACAGCCTGCTGTTGTTTCCCCCTGGCTGTGCTGAAGTTGATGGTGAAGGTGTTATGCTGACCGGATGAGGAGGTGGTAGAGGAGGAGGAGGAAGAAGATGAGGAGGAGGAGGAGGCAACAGGAGGCAAAGCTGTGTACCCAAATAAAGATTGTCAAACGTTGTATCCTGGAACTGTGTCCCATCCGGTTACTGGGGAAATGGGTCTGACCTATTCTAATCAAAGGGGATAACCATCGTTACCCAGGTCCCGCTTCAACTGGTGGCAAGCGGAGGGATCCCATGTCCCTTCCAACAGACTGTGCTCTAAAGCGACCAACACTGCAGGACTTGTGTGGAGTCAGAGGAATAACGCCTGGTGGGCGTAACAAGGCTGAATTGACTGCTGCGCTCATGGAGGATGACCAGGCATGCAGTGAGGCAACGAATCCCAGCTAGGGGCCGGATATGAGGAGGCGCAAGGCGGTGTAATGGCGTCTGGCATATTACTGATAGCCACCCTCAGAGGAGGTGCAAGCCTATGTCCTTGCCAATAGACAGAGGGCGACCTCCATGAACCCAGATGAAGGAAGAAGGGAGCAGAGGGTGCCGGGAAGCACAACCACCCTGGCCCACAAGCTACCATACAATGCCTTCAAAGATTTCAAGGAAGCAGAAGAAGGCATTGATGACTTTTTACAAGACTTTGAGTGCCAGTGCCTACTCCAAGACGTAGACCCCAGCGACTAGGTCACCATCCTGGCTAGCAAACTAGTGGGGAAGGCAGTGGATATTTACCGGGCTGTACCAGAAGAGCAGACCAGAGACTATCCCTTTATTACCCAAATCCTTCTGGCCTGGTATACGGTCACCCTGAGCAATAACGCCGAAAGTTTAGGGAGACCCGGAAAGGGGAGAAGGACTCCCATGCGGAGTGGGCATGCCGCATCACAAGGGCCACCCAGAACTGGCTTAACTCCCATCAAGCCAAGTTCCTGGAGGAGATCACCCAGCTCGTCATGCTAGAGTACTTTTTCAATGGGCTCCCCAACGACAAGGTGACGACGCATTCGTATGTCATCCATATCAACTTTCGATGCTACTTTCTGCGCCTACCATGGTGACCACGAGTAACAGGGAATTAGGGTTCGATTCCGAAGAGGGAGCCTCAGAAACAGCTACCACATGCAAGCAATGCAGCATGCACGTAAATGACCTACTCCCGACTCGGGAAGGTAGTGACGACAAATAACAATACAGGACTCTTTAGAAGCCCTGTAATTGTAATGAGTCCACTTGAAATACTTTAACTCTGATCAATTGGAGGGCAAGAGCGACTGACCTGTGCGTGCTGCATCTGAAACTCCACTATCGCCTGCTGCTGCTCAAACAGTCTCTCCAGCATGTGCAAGGTGGAGTTCCACCTTGTGGGCAAGTCGCATATGAGGCGGTGAGCGGGAAGGCCAAAGTTACACCGCAGCGCAGACAGACGAGAAGCAGCAGGGTGAGAACGCCGAAAGCGCGCACAGCCGCTACAGTGAATGTCACATCTTGTTCCAAGTTGCGGATCACTCTGGTGATGGCTTCCGGTATCCAGTACTCTTTTTACTGAAGCTGCATCAGGGTCCTGGTATGTGACCACACAAAAGCTGGTGCTCAACACCAGGGGGTGTGTGGTTACCCTGCACCAGACCCTGCTAATCCATTCCACACTGTGATTCATAACTTCAACATCAGTCATACTGGGTCCCAGTCGTCTGACCGCCGCACAGACAGTGTGTGGGTCCTCGTCACCGGACTGTGAAACTGCGAATGGCTAGTTAAATCTCTTATGGTTCCGTTTATCGCTGCATCTGTTACTTGGATAACTGTGGGAATTCTAAAGATAATACCTGCCCTCCTTGCCGGTATGCACACTGCAGAAAGCCACAGCAGTTGGCACCAGTATTTTTCCAGCATGTAAAGTCTGCAAAGGACATATGGAAATTGTTTTAGAATTGTAGCCAGGCAACAGTTTTCCCTATAAACTGACCTCTCAGTTTGACTTGTGAGGGTATTGCCCCCGAATTACAATATTGTTATATTGGTATTTGACGGTTCTATTTGACTGTCAGATATGAAGTGCAGGCCGCAAATGTACTATTTAGCACCCAAAAAAATTTGAATTGGTCAAACTGCGCTGTAACCACAGTATTTGACGGTTCTATTTGGCTGTCAGATATGAAGTGCAGGCCACAAATGTACTTTTTATCACCCAAAACAATTTGAATTTTTCAAAGTGCGCTGAAAGCACAGTATATGACGGTTCTATTTGACTCTTAGAAGTGCACCGCAGGCCGCAAATGTACTATTTAGCAGCCAAAAAATTTCAATGTTTAAAACTGCAATATAAGTACAATATTTGACGGTTCTATTTGACTCTCAGATATGAAGTGCATCGCAGGCCGCACATGTCACAGCACTATTTGAAAGTTCGATTTGACTCTCAGATATGAAGAGCACGCCCCAAAAGTACTTCTTAGGAGCAAAAAAATGGGAATTTGTCAAAGTGCACTGTAAACATAGTATTTGACGCTTCTATTTGACTCTCAGATATGAAGTGCAGGAATTAAATTGACTTTTTAGCAGCTAAAGAATTAGAATTTTTACAACTGCAATTTAAGTACAATATTTGACGGTTCTATTTGACTCTCAGATATGAAGTGCACCGCAGGCCGCACATGTACTATTTATCAGCCAAAAAATTTGAATGTTTAAAAATGCTATGTCACAGCACTATTTGATGGTTCTATTTGACTCTCAGATATGAAGAGCATGCCCCAAATTTACTATTTAGCAGATTAGCATCCAGAAAATAAGATTTTTTACAATTGCGCTGTAACCGCACTATTTGATGCTTCTATTTGACTCTCAGATATGAAGAGCATGCCCCAAATGTACTATTTAGCAGTTTAGCACCCAGAAAATAAGAATGTTTACAATTGCGCTGTAACCACACTATTTGACACTTCTATTTGACTCTCAGATATGAAGTGCAGGGCCCAAATTTACTATTTAGCAGATTAGCACCCAGAATATAAGAATGTTTACAATTGCGCTGTAACCGCAGTATTTGACGCTTCTATTTGACTCTCAGATATGAAAAGCAAGCCCCAAATTTACCATTTAGCAGTTTAGCACCAAAACAATTCGAATTTTTACAACTGCTCTGTAACCTCAGTATTTGACTATTCTATTTGACTCTCAGATATGAAGAGTACTCCCCAAATTTACTATTTAGCAGATTAGCACCCAGAAAATAAGAATGTTTACAATTGCACTGTAAACGCACTATTTGATGCTTCTATTTGACTCTCAGATCTGAAGAGCACGCCCCAAATTTACTATTTAGCAGATTAGCACCCAGAAAATAAGAATTTTTACAATTGCGCTGTAACCGCACTATTTGATGCTTCTATTTGACTCTCAGATCTGAAGAGCACGCCCCAAATTTACTATTTAGCAGATTAGCACCCAGAAAATAAGAATTTTTACAATTGCGCTGTAACCGCACTATTTGATGCTTCTATTTTACTCTCAGATATGAAGAGCATGCCCCAAATGTACTATTTAGCAGATTATCACCCAGAAAATAAGAATTTTTACAATTGCGCTGTAACCGCACTATTTGACACTCAGATATGAAGAGCACGCCCCAAATTTACTAGTTTGCAGAATTCTTTCCTAATCTGTCCCTGAAAGCGGCAGCATCCTCTCCCTACACTAATAAGAGCTCATGTGCGTACGGCGCGACTCCAGCTTATATATAGAGCCTGGGTCACATGCTGCACTGGCCAATCACAGCCATGCCATTAGTAGGCATGGCTGTGATGGCTTCTAAAGGCACACGAGTCAAACGCTTGTTGTTTGGCTACCCTGCAGCCTTTCAAAATGCGCCATTAAATCGCAGAACACCGAACTCCAACCTGAACATACACTGATATGTCGGTGTTCGGGTCCGGGGTCCAAAAAATGTAATGTTCGGTACGGGTTCGCTCAACTCTAGTAGTCATATTAAAAAAAACATTTCAACAGTTGTCTAAAAATGCAATTAGTATCCTGCAAGTTAAAGAACTAAAGTAACTAAAAAAATAGTTTTAGTCGATTCTGGTTCTATAACATCACACAAATCCTGCAAAACTTTAAGCAAAATATTCATGCTTCAACAGCCTGTCACACATTATTCCAAAGGTGCTACATTGGAATAAATGTTCTGGTTGTACAGGCCTTTAACCCCTTAGTGACCAGACCGTTTTTCAATTTTCTTACCGTTAAGGATCAGGGCTCTTTTTACATTTCTGCGGTGTTTGTGTTTAGCTGTAATTTTCCTCTTACTCATTTACTGT